TGTGGAGAAATTAGAGAGTCCAGCAGAGGGCAACAAAAATGGTGAGGGAGCTGGGGCACGTGACTTCTGAGGAAACTGGATTTATTTAATCTAAAGAAGAGAAGACTGAGAGGGGATTTAACATCAGCCTTCAACTACCTGAAGTGGGGCTTGAAAAAGGATGGAGCTGGACTGTTCTCAGTGGTGGCAGATGACATAACAAGGAGCAATGGTTTCAAGTTGCAGCAAGGGAAGTTTAGGTTGGATATTAGGAAGAATTTTCTCACTAGTATAACATTGGAACAGGTTACCCACAGAGTTGGTGGGATCTCCATCCTTGAAGGCTTTTTAAGATTTGGCTAGACAAAGCCTCGGTTACACCTTCACAAGTTCAAGTGTCACATGCATATGCAATATGCATGCTAGACAAAGCCTTGGTTGGAATGATTCAGTTGGGGATGGTCCTTGTTTGAGCAGGGGATTGGATGAGATGTCCTCCTGAAGTCCCTTCCAACCTCAATTTATGACTAATTCACTAACCACAAAGAAGGGTCTAGCACTCAGAACCTATAAGCATTCATCTACCACTAAAACATATATACATATTTGCAAGACATGAGCCTGGCACCAATCCTTTTTTTTTTTTTTTTAAATGCAGCTGTTATTCATATGTATTTATTGAATAATTTGAAATACTGTTGCTGAATGTTGCTACTCCATTCACAGTCATTGAAGGGAACTCTCTGGCAAAAAATAGGCCAAATGTTTACTAAACTGCACCTGTAAATGTATACAAATGTCCATCCATTTTAAAGCTGTATCTGTACATGCAAATAGACATTCAAATACTAGTTCTGACAAAAAATCTGCATGTGCAAATTTAGACGCTGCCTTAAAAATTGACTCAAAGGGTTACCATCTAATATGTTTCTTACCAACCATGGTTAAGCAAATGTGTTCAGAAACATTGTGAGTAGTACATATAAAACTATATGAGAGTTTTGTACCCTTTTCTCACTTGCACACTCAGGTACCATCTACGAACAATAACATAGTACATGACCAGCCTGAGAAAAAGAGGAATGCCATTACACAGTATGAAGGGCACATTATCCTTTTCTTGTTTCCACCTTTTTCACTGAACAAATTGTTCGAAGATAAAAACCAAGCTGTTGTAAAACTTAAGAACTAAAGAATGTGCAGCAGGTGGTAACATATGTGTCCATCTAGTTCCAGATAAAACAAATCTAGTGTGCAGAAAAGAGTACAGAATCTCAGTCTGACTCAGAGCTGAGGGGGCGAGGAAAAGAGAAGTGGCTGCAGCTCAAGCGCTAGGCCTGCTGTAAAGAATGGTTATTCTTTTAATGGCATTGTCAAACTGTCCTTACCTATTGAGCACACAGTTGTTCCCCTTACACTCTGAATTCTAACTACCTACTACTCAATGCAAGATACTCTTTCTACTCAATGCAAGATACTCTATCTAACTACTCAATGCAAGATATGCTAAGTTCACTTTGGAACTTGGCCTTTCTTTCCAGTTCTAAAACACTGCAAGAGTTTCCAACTTCTAAATCATTGTAAAAATGGGTTGTAAACATTATTTAAATGTATGAGGACCCCCTCTGGTGGTGACCACAACCTGAGTTGGTCAAACTTTTTCAAATTTTGAAATTTTCAGTGGCATTTTGTCAGCACTCCAATTTTTGATCAAAAAATATTTCAACGGCATTTTTGTACAAAATCATACTTTATTTTCTGACCAGAAATTATTGCTACTCAGTTCTTAAAGAAAATAAGAATTATGCAAAATTGAAGCTTCCTGAACACAGAGTCAAAACAACAAATTTCCCCCGTAATAGAAATGACTGAAAGCTGTTACCATCTGTTGGGTGTTTGGCCTACATAAAATGATCTCACAGTCTCAGTTTGGTATCTAGTGAATAAAAGTCTTCATCACTTGAACTACTAAAACTCGTTTTTATTTAGCATCCTTGTTGATCGCAGAAGAATGAGGCACCACCTTAGTAAACTGGTTAAACTCATGCTTAATTTTAAGCAGGAGGAAGCCAAAGCATGAAGAAGATCCTGTAGTATTTCCTGTAGTAGGGCCTAAATTACCAGTAGAGCTGATAAGAAAATATTGTTTTTGAAATTTGAATTGTTTCTCACAGAGGCAGGGGGAACCTAAAAAAAAAGATAGTTTTTAAGGAGTTGTGCTTTTTAGCAACTAAAAGTTAAATGCTTTTATTAAAAATGATTTTAAAAATGAACATTTCCTGAGGTGTCTTTTTCCATGGTTTGTAGAGGTGGGGAAGGGCGGTGGGGGCGAGTGGGCGACTTTGTGATAAGTAATTTTCTAATAATTCTAATAAGCAATGATACTCAACTTTTCATAAATAAATCCCAAATGCTTCAGTATTATCACCCCTATTTTAGCCTGGAAGTCTGAATTACATGAAGGAAAAGGGACTCAGGCCCAAGGGTCAACCAGCAGGCTGATGGCAGAGATAGGGATGGAATTCAGCTATCCTCAGCAAATCTAGGTAAGTTTGGAGGGGTTAATTTTTTTCTCTTCATTAAAGCACACACTTATTTGGTTCAACCAAAACACATAGCAAAAATCCTGAAATTACTTTAAAACATACATTTGTTTCAACGTTTTTGAAATATTAGATATTATGTTTTCAAAATCACCTCTAGCGTGATTTTGAAAAAAAAGAATATGTAGGACACTCCTCTCCCCCAGGCATGACAGTGAAATAATATTACTATGTTTTAAGTCAAACAAATTGTCTTGTTCTACTAAAAATGGTCTCTTTTTTGGCTTTTTCATTTCATTTTTCATTTCACCAATGGAAAATAATAGTTTTAATTTATATTTGCAGATCAGTCAGAACATTGGAAAATCAGAATCTGTATCTATTGCTTTAGTGTCGGTCCTCCTGGCACAGTACATTCTATGGTGCACATGAGGGCAAGCAGGATTTTCAGTTCTTGCACTGACATTTGGTCAGTTTTAGGCATTAAACACTATTCTTTTTAAGGAAGACAAATGTAAAAGTGTAGACTTCTACCTTCCCTTGTAACAGAGAGTGAGAGGAAAAGAGATTTGGTTTCACTTCAATGGAGCATTAATGCTATCGTCTGAGTTTTATGCTATGCTTCTTTATGCAGCTGAAAAATAAAATTGGCCTCATGACTTTTGATGTATCATTAGTAGTTCTTTAAGTTAAAATTGAATTTAAAAATGGAAAAGCAAGATGCTCAACAATAGGACTTGATTCATTAAGAGTATATGCCTTTTGAGGAACTGGAAAAGGTTCTTCAGCAATCTATCACATTTCTTATTTATGCAGTTCTAACATTAACTGAATCTCACTTTCCTGCCTTTACATGCTGTAAAATGCTCCTCTTTTGACATGCTCTTTTTTTCTTCTGAAACAGTTAAGGTGTTGCTTGAACTCAGTTTTACACTCTTTGCTTTAATCAGCAACATATTCCACATATTTATTACCCACGTAAGGGACAAGTGAAAATAGCAAGGAGAAAATGCTCTGGGTACACCTGCTGCCTCTGATTGCACCCTCTTGCAGGGATGAGGTTTCAAGAAGATAGGATACAGCCACTGGTGTGACTCTGCACCAGCTGAGATGCTTCTTTCTAACTGAATATGTCAGGTTTACAATTGCTTTATACTGACTATTGCTGCCAAAGGACCAGACACACTGAAGAAGATATCAGAGATATTAAATATTTATTCCTTCATGTTTTTCAAGCTCTCTTTTTTCTCCCTTTCAGGCTAACTAATGATTAGGAACAATTCAGCCCAAAACCTAGACATCATTTTTAGATGATAATTTTGTGCATCGTATATTTGGCCTGTATTTTTGAGAATAGCACACAATGTGGGTCACATTTTGTGGCACCCACACTTACTGGAAGGCCAATTGTATTTTAAATTCATTGACTGCAGTCAGACATTCAGTTATAATGTTTTTGATAGAAGAATCCAGGTTTGATTACTACATTACAGCTTTGAGAACTGCATTTCTACTGAATATCCAGGTCAACATATTTTGTTGTGACTGGTTACATCACTTATGACTTCAGTATGTAAACTATCCCAACACAGTGATGTGTGAAAAGGGAAATCAAAAAAGAACACCATTTTGCACGCAATTATTGTCTTAGAATCATATACAGGTTACTCTCGATTTATGTGGGTTCTTTATATGCAAATTCACTCTTACGCGATGAGTGTACTTAGATCCATGGTTCATTATATGCGAGGTAAATTCACTCTTATGTGATCAGCATAAACACCCCTCCACCCAAGGAGGTAAGTCTGTGGGGGGAGGGGAAAGAGCCATGGCTCACCCCAACCCCGGCTGCAGCGGCCTTGGGAGTGGCTGGCATCAGCTGCCTGCAGCTCCTGGGCTGTGCTGTGCTGTGGTTCAGGGAGCTGGTGTCGGCTGCTCCCGGGGCCACTCCAGCCTGTGTTGGGGTGAGTGCGGACAAGCAGAGCCCCATGCAGTAGCCAGCGCCAGCTGCCTGCAGCCATTGGGCTATACCGTGCTCCACCTGACCCCACTCACCTCTGCTCCTGGGCTGTGCCATGCCCTAGTGCAGCCAACTGAGTGCTGCACCCCGCACTGCCCAGGGCTCCGCTTGTCTGCACTCACCCCAGCCCATGCTGGAGTGACCCTGGGAGCAGCTGCCACTGGCTACCTGTACCAGGGCACGGTGCAGCCCAGGAGCAGAAGTGAGTGGGGACAGGTGGAGCCCAGGAGCGAGGGGACAGGTGGAGCACAGTGCAGCCCAGAGGCTGAAGGCCGCTGGTGCTAGCCGCTTCCGGGGCCGCTGCTGCTGGGGCTGGGGTGAGTGTCTCTCTGTTCCCTCTGCTTTGCTGCCTTGTGCAGCCCTGGGAGCAGCAACCCTCCCCCATCCCCTTCCCTAGGTCCAACCTTACTCACTCTCTCTCTCCCTCACCTCCATGGAAACCTATCCCTAATGGTTACATTGTAAAATGGGTTCAGTTTATGCAAATTCAATTTATGCACCATTCTCTGGGAACACATGTACAGCATAAATCGAGGGAAACCTGTGTTTTGAAAAGATGATGATCTTAAAACAGAGAATCTAATACCCAGTTACTAACATACTGCTCATTTCTGGCCAAACATTCTCTTGTCTGTTTTAATCCTGTTATCAGACTGTTTGTGCAATGGGAAATAGATCAACATATTGCAACTCAATGATCAATCTTTGTAGGTTCGTTGACAAGTTACATCATCAAGAGGAGGAAAATCTGCACTGGGGATTGTTGAAGAATCATAAACTAGAATGTGGTGAAGAAGTATGGAGATGGAGCATTAAGAAGTACTTCAGAATAGTGGTGTATAAATTCTGTATGACTTAACAGCTGTACAGGTAGAGAAAACCCAGCATGACATGGGCTGATTTAAGAAAACTTGAAGGCAGAATTAATCATTGATGTGGCTATTTCTGGAGATGAAAGACATTTTGAGAGAGAGGAAAATGTGAAAAATATAAATTGAGTGACTGTGCCATAAAATAAGACTTCTCTTGGTAATTTAGCAGTAAAAATAAAATGTTGCCAACTTCAGCATCTAGCAAGAATGTGTTGGACACAGACATTGTCTGGATTTACATAGTATACTTGCCAAGTCTGCCATTCTTGGAAACTACTCCTGAGTTCCTGTATCTCTTAAGGGAGTTCACGGTTCATTGGTTTCTCCCAGTAAAGTTGACAGTACCAATGACTCAAAATATCATTTGCATATATAAAGGAAATGATAGTATGCAAAACACATTAGACCCTGTATTCTCAAGACCACTTAGGTGAACTACCATCAACATAAAAGTTGTAAGAACAATAATAATAAAAAATAACAAATAATAAAAGAAGAAAGATAAGAACAGGGGAAGGATGTGAGAAAGTAAAGGACTAGAAAGAGAAAACTGACTGGAGAAATGAGGAATTGGACGTGGTATCTTCAAGAGGTATGGCATACATAATATGGGGGAAAACAGACAGTCCAATCAGAGAAAGTTAGGAAAATGTTTTGAAATACTGGAGATATGAAGTACAGTGTTTCATCTGAAAGAAGCTGCCAGGAAAAGGATTGCCCATACCTGAAATTGTTAGTCTATGTGAAGCAGACTTGGCAGGAGTGTATAGACAAAGAAACTGCATGCAGCTTCTAAGGCATCTGACATAGACGTAACAGATGCATATCTGAAAAAAGCATGCTTCAAGGGCCTTAAGTGGCAGAGCTGAAATCTGGACATATTCACTGTCAGGAAATAACTTGGATGGTAGAAAATACCCAAAAGGCCAGATTCTGATCTCAGTTTTCTGGTGCAATTATGCACATTTCATACACAACAGCGACATTTTCGCTTCATCACTGTTCTGTTTAGCTAATGATTCTTTCTGTTCAGGAGTGAGTGAAGACCCCTAGTAGCTCAGCGGTAGTTAGGTAATATTTTGTGAATACATAGACTGGGTAAACAATATCTTTTTATGAAGGATGCTGGGCAAAGGCTTTTGAAGTGATAGAAAGCTGTAGCCTTTGCCCCTTTATCAGCTATTACAAGCTAAATAAGGATAACTTGGTCAATATATTGATGAGAAATCTCCAAAGAGAATCCTGGCTACTGTAGAACGAGTAGGAGACGGAGCACACAGCAAACAAACACTGTCTATTTGAACTGATGAGCACATTAGAATATACCAGAGCTGTCACCTTTTGCATGTAAAATAGAGGGACCTTGAGTTCTGGGTGATATGATTCATGTTTGTTTATCCTCGGGCAACTCAAATTTCCTGCTGGCAACCTAGACTGTAAGAACATATTGGCTATGCAGGGAGCATACATGCTCTAATGACTGTTTCTGAAGACAAAGAACTGAACATTCTGAAACAGCAAGCCCACTTCTTTGGAGAGCTGACATTGTAAATATGTTATAATGATGAGGTAACTGGAAAAGGACAGGAGCTCTAGAGGGAGACATTAGAAAGTCTCCTCAAGGTAGCACTGGCCATAGGGAGTCAGCCCTGACTTCACAAATAAGAACTGAATACATGTACTTTATTAGTTAATGAAAAAATATATATAAGTGATAGCATTTTAGCTATTTGCATTTATTTTTAAAGGTCCTTTGGTGGCCACATACTTTGGTGCTACATTTATATTTAATGAGATCGTATGAAAGGCCTAGGATAAGAAGAGCTCCTGTGGTGTAGACAGGGCTGTGACTGAATTTGTGACATATTTGTTTAATCCACTACTTCTATTGCTAGGCTAATATTGTCCTGACTTCTCCATGTAGCATATAACTCAGGTTACACCTTGCACATGTGGGATACAGATTATCCCATTCAACAGTTCCTTTCCCCACTGGAAGCTAGCCTAGTGTTACCAAAAAACACTTCCCATCAACTATGCAGACAATGGCTCAGCTCCAGAATTTTCCACTTTCTGCCTTATCTCATTCCTGGGAGTGGAAGAGCACTTGGGCTTTCCTCTTCCTCATCTTGTCTATAATCTATGAGGTCCTTTATCACCGGTGTAACTCCACAGGATGCTAGGCTATTCATTCAACATGCATACTGCTTTTGAAGACTTGGAGATTTTAGAGTCCTGTCTAATCTTTATGTATGATATTTATGCTTTCAGTGATAGAGAGTTAAGTTACGATGGTATTGCCTTCACATGAGAGTGTGCACCTGAGAAGTTACTATGAAGTAGTTGATGTTCAATAAATCTTTGTCCTCCTTTTGCCTCGTGGTACGTAATTTTTCTGCTCATACTATAGGTCTGGGTTACCAGTTCCTCTCTAGCAAAGTAGCAGCAACAGATACTTATAATTTCTGGAAATAGCTCTTGGAAAATATTCAATTTCTTTAAAAAAGAAGAAAAAAGATGAATTGTAAGGTCGACCCAAGTGTTTTCATTATGCTTTTGGTGACCATCTTAAACCTGACCTAGTAGGTGTCCTTAAGGGACCACTTTATCTCTAGAAGACTCAGATTCTCTGTGCCTCAGCTTTTCCTATAAAATGGAGATTATGATATCTCTTTCTCATATTACTTCGTAATACACATTAAAAGCACCAGATCAGAATGAGGTATTATGCTTGTTTTTAGTTTTAACCACTATTTACCAGTAAAGTGGCAGTGCCTGAAACCTCTCAATCCATCTTTCAAAGACTCTACTGACAAGATTCTTTACTCAATGCCTGATTCTTCTTCGGGAAAAACAAAATAAAAGGTTTCTGCATTACCTACGGTCTGGCTCTTTAATAAGAGGGCAGGTCCTTGAGACAATAGCTCTGGACATCCTAGTGGAACTTTGGACGAGCCATGCTTTTTCCCTTCCAAGCTCTTTCTCCTATTGTTTATCTTGAAAACCACCTGAGCGCAACAGCATTTGTTTGCTTCTGCTGACGTTTTTCCAACAAGGCTTGTAAAGTCACCCAGCGCATACCTCCCCAGTGTTTATGTATAAAAACACTTAGCCCCTCTTAACCAGAAATTTTAAGGAAGGGAACAAAGATAATCTGGCCAAGCCCAAACAAACACATGGAGCTATCAAGGTTTGAAAATAAATGTGTCAGCTCATTTTCTGAAACAAAAAAACCAAAAGTGAAATAAACCCACCAAACAAAATCCCTTCCACATCACAACATGCCTAGCATGCTCTCAAAAGCTGAGATTTTTAAATACCAAAAGGGACTTAGCTAAATACCTTTTCATAAATGTTACGGAAAGAAACTGGAAATAATTCCCCTGCATGGCTCTGAAGCCATCATTTCAGTCTAGGTTCATTGCAGAAGGCATTTTCCTCTGCCTTTTCCATATCCATATTGATCACACCACTATTGTGCCCTTGTGCAACTTTTAGATAATGTATTAAATAGTTTTTTTTCCCTCCCTACCTTTGTCTCCAAATTAACCTTTGCTAAGGCCAAGTTTACACATATATTTTATACTGGTAAACTGGCACAAGACTTAGGATCATTGCTATTATAAAGATAGCTTATTTTCCTCCTCATAAAAGGTGAAGTTGAACTGATAGAAATATGTTAATATTGATATAGTTGCACCTGCACTTATGGGGCTGGGTCCTTTTCAAGACCAGTGCACTTAAAGTGGTCTAATTTCTGTGTTTAAGCATTCATGCATTTACACTGTAATGCACCCAGTTTGTTTATTTCTGCCTGGATGAAAACAGTGACATGAGCCGCCAGAGTACAATATTAGGTAAATGCTGACAAAGTACCATAAATACTGTCCAGAGAGGATACAGCCCTTCACACAACAGAGCAACTTGCTGTTGTGTGAGGGACTGTATCCGCCCTGGATAGTAGTTAGAGCCAGAATCTTGATATAGTATTTGCATTAGTACAAACCTGGTAGTTTTCTAGACTGCTGACTGACTTTTAGAGTTACTGCATGGAGTGGGTGATTAGCCATGGTCTAGCCTGTTCTCAAGGAACAGAGCTCTATAATTATTCAGTGTCCAATTTCACATGCTCAAAACATAATCAAGAAACTAGCCTAGATCAGAATAAAATAATCTATTACCAATGAGTTATACCCCTTGATTTGCATTTCAAACAAGTACTGCTGATGGTGCCACTGACTGACCTCCCCAGCTATACTCACTATCATAGATCTGCCTGTAGACTTTCATCTCATTTACTATAGAACAGTAATGCCAGCTTCAGAGATATGTCAGAGTTCAGTGGAAAAACAAGCAAACACACACACACTTGAATTGTCCTGAAATTGTCTCTTTTATGATGTTCCCAGGGAACAGTAAGGGTAGTAGCTTTCTCATACTCCAAAGTTTTGTTTTCTCTACGTTAATGTATCAGAGATAACAAAACTGAGAAGATCCTCAACTACAAAAGTTAGGTCCAAATCTAAAATTCCTCAAAATAAATTAGCATTCAGGTCTGGAGTTTGTCTTCAGTTCATCTCTATAAACATGAATCTACACACACACATACACACACATACACACACACACAAACAAAACAGAAACAGATCCCCCTTACCAGGTTTAGGCACATAAGCAGAGAGGTTAGAAATGGAAGCACCTTGCCCTGTGAGTCAGCAGTGGTTTTCCTTGTACATTCTTGCACGTACCAATCCCTACAAATTCATCCAGCCAAGACTTGTCATAACTTTAGAAATTAACAAAAGCAATTCCTTCTCTATTGTCATTCTAGTGGCACTCCGTTCCATTTACACCATTTTAATATCTCCCCTTTTGTTATCATATCTAGGGATAAAGGACTGGAAAGGACTCCCTGGGTCACTGAGTCATCTCCTAGCAGAAGCACCTATGCCATTATAATACCACCAGTCAAAGGTATCCAACTCATTTGGCCCTTTGGGATGGATCTAAACCAAGTATATACCTTTCTGAATCTGGACCTAATTAACCAGAAGACAGATTTAGGCATACTGAAATGTAAATCTCCATGAAATCAATGGGATTTAGGATCCCAATTTACTGAAAACTTTTGAACCTGCTACCTCTTATCTATAACAATATGACAAACATCAAGGCTGCGTCCAGATGAGCGTGGATGTTTGGTTCCCTAGGGGCAAGTAGCGGCGGCATAGCTACTTGTTCCCGGGGAACACCCTTGCCACACACACTTTGGCATGTGGCAAGTTACCCCAGGTGGGGTAGGGGAGGCTGGGGCCAGCCCTGGTATCCATATATATTTATGTAAGAACCTATTTAGGAAAGAACCTAAATCTGTTCAGCCCATAGCATTATAAGTCTGTATGTCACTTTATAGATACAACTAATGACAAAGATCCTGCAAATACAAACATGAATAACTATAGTGAAGGGGCTATTCACAGGAGTAAAGTTACTCATGTGTGCAAGTGTTTGCAAATTCTGAGACATAAGTTGTGTCAGCATCATAGATATAATAAGCACAACCGGAATAGTAGTTAATTGCCCGCTGGGTTTGAGTTAAATATGTTAGCACAGATTGGCTGCTTGTCATTTTACCTCTTGCCTGGTATATATGATTTATATAAATAATCATCTTTATCATTTAAAAAATGAAAAAGAAAAAAGGAGGTCAAGTGGTTTCGCTGAAAAAGATCATGGTTTAATTTGCTATTGGCAATTTGCACAACTTTGGGTTTTGTTATAATTTTAATAATCATTAAAGTATGTTTTTTTTCCCCTGTCATCTTCCCCAGCTTTCTGAAAAGGTACCACAGGGAAACCATTACTTGCTAAAAAGTACCTTCATTTTTCCCTGCTGAATTTATTTTTAGTACACTATGAAGAAATGTACTTAACATTTTGTTCCTTGAATGTGAAGAGGCACTTAAAAATGACACCCCCTTTTGCTGTGCTGAAACACATTTTCCATTCACTAACCTGAATGTGCAAAAGCACCAATGAAACCTAATGAACAATATAGTTGTTAAACCTGAGGCCACCTTTTGTCTTTCACTGAATGGCACCCCAATCCTTCCACAAATAGCTTAAAAAATAACATAAAGAGAAGAAATTCCACCTTTATGTCACAGGAAATCTTTTTGAGACTAATCTGCTTTTGAGAAGGTTTACCTTTAAATAGGATTTCCTTTCACTGCACATACACATTGAGTCAGGAAGCTCCACTCTGAGTCAATTGTAATGCACTTGGTTTTCGACTTGAGTCGGCTTGTAAATGATGGAACTGATGATTCATAATTTCCATCCTGACCTTGTTTGCTTTGTATTCACACTGTGGTAGGGGAACTGTCATGTTCAGGATCATCAGTTTATTTAGGAGGAAACTGATTTAATCCATTAGTCTGCAGCAAAATACATTTGCATGTATGAGAACAAGTAAAGAAGGTGGCACGATACATATATATTTCAAAGGTTCCATTATACATTAATCTCATTTGCATAACTCCGTAGTGCTGAACAAGTTAATTGTCAGCTATTTAGGATGTGACTCCATTATGTCACAGTCGTTCATCCCTAGTGTCTCATGAAACAGGCTATTTTATGTGTAAGCAAACACTGCTGGAAAAAAGTGAAATATGACTGCTACATTATTTATTGCACCTGAGATACAAGAAATACAGACTGGAACATGTATAGGTAGAAGGGAATAATAGAATGTTAATATGCAGCTGTGCAGGGGATCCATGAAACTATTCTATAATGTGATACAACATCATGAGACAATTATTAAGAGACAAGCAGTTAGTTACATAATCTTTGAAGTGCTCATTTCCTGCAACTTCCTCTCTGGTCTGATCTGAAGGATTCAAAGAATTAGTTCACTGCTTTAGTCAATTAATTTGTATTTTCATTCGGTACTATACTGTGCCATGGTGAGAGGGAAAGAGAAAATTGTAAATCATCTGTCTGCTGCGTTGTAAATACAGATAAAGGTAAATAAATGCATGTTGGTATGTAAGTATTTCCCCCTGGAAGGCCAGGGCTAATGGGACTTAGCCCTCCCAAACTAATTTTGTAGTGGCTGGTGACAGCAGCAGCACCACGCTACCACTGTCCCACAGTACCCAGCGCCGATCGGCATGAAGCCAGGCCACTGCTTCACATGTGCTCAGCTCCGCACAGCTCCACTCTTCCAGTGCCATCGTCATGCCCTGCTGCTGCAGCACCCTGCTCCATGCTCCTCACTCTCCCCAAATAATATTTTCTTATGCTGCCTATAGCAGTAACCATATAACACCATGCAGTAAGCACTGTGCAGTAGCTTATTAGCACCGTTTTTGACCAGCATGTCACTGTGCAGTGTCACTAGGCTACTGCACAAGAAGCATCTCAAGTAGATGTGCCCACTGAGAGCTTTACCATTGATTTTACCAGTTCAAGTGCAGAGCAGTTTTCACCAGGGTGCTGTGACACCCCAAAGTGATCCAAGATATCCTCAGTGGTGTGGCCATGGAGGCAATGCTGCCACGGTGGCAACACCTTGATAAAAGCGTTCTGCATGCAAGTCTGTGGCACCCATATGCTCCTGCTGCATTACGGTTCTCTGATAAGCCTAAAGCAGGCAGCAGAACTGGCTTGTGTCATAGTCCTTCCTGGTCCAGCACCACTCCCTCCTGCCCCAACATGCTCTTCCTGGAAACCCAGGTGCACAGGAGAGGTGGAACTGTCCTGTTCCACCTCTCCTGTGCACCTTGGCTTCCAGGAAATGCTGTTTATAGTTGAACTGGAAAGGACTGCAACATGAGCTAGCTCTCCTGCCTGATTTAGGGTTATCAGAGAATACTAATGCAGGAGGAGTGTGCACATGTTCTCAATCTGGCTGTGCACAGGACAAGTGGGGCAGGACCCCAGCTGAGAATCACTGAGGTCAGTTGAGCTGAACAGTGGTTCTCAACTGGGGATGCCATCACAGTCAAAAAAGTTGTGGCAGGTGCCTTGACTCTGGAAAGGTTGAGAAGCACAGGCTTAAGACCTAGCTACACTGACCTTAAAACCAAGTTTAATAGTAATTTCTAACTAGGCTTTCAGTAATGAAGCCAAAAGGTGTTTCCACCATGGTTCAGCCTCCCAGTGTGAACTAGGGAAAAGGTATGAGAACAACAGTGAACTGCCTTGGATGGTGCCAAGGCCAGATACAGGCTTAGAAATCTGTTTTTAAGCAGCTTTTCCCTGTGTTTAGTGGCAAGCCAAGCTGATTTGGAGACCTGTTTGGTGGCCAAGTTTAAGCATGCTTTTTAAACTTAATTATGAAGCAGATGGTGTTGTCTTTTCATCTATTTATGGTTGCTATTCACGGATTTATCTGTACAGAGACAAACTAAAACAAACTGCTATTTCTTAATATTAGCAGTACATCCCGTTATGTAGGCTGAATCCATCCTTTCCTGGGATATTGTGCAGCTGCCTTCATTCTTTCATATGTATGTTTTTCTTCCAGCTCCCTTTTGATCCATTCTGTATGGTTTATGTTGGGAAGTTGGGGACACAGAAAATGACTCTAGGGAAAAGGGAAAGGAAAACATCGGTAAATGGGATGGAAATGTGGGGGAGAGACAGGCTTGAGAGAGAAGAGAAGGAAAGGCACTTTCATGTAAAGCAGAGGAGGAGAGTAAGGAAGTCATCAAGAGAGGAGTCACAGGAGGACAACTGCTTCAATAACTACAAGGAAGTCCCTGTGAAGATGTTAATGACAGCAACAGCGTGCAAGGAGCAACAGTGCTGTTGTCTGGTGGAGGCCTCCTGTTTCACATGAAGTGCCCTACAATATACCTTTGTATGACATTAGTAGTCATGCACCCCACATTTTATATCAATTGCACTTTCCTGTTCACACAGGATCAAAGGCATTCTCAGGTATGTGCAGAAAAAATGTGACTAGGAAAGAAAATATGACTCACCAAAGATCACTGACATTTATTTACGTCGTTGTGGCAATCACATACTCAAGTTTAAGTGCATTACAGAATCAGTAACACAGATCTCTAAAAATACAACTAATATTGCAGACTTCCCTATAATCTCCTTCCATTTCTTCAGCTTCTTCTGAGAAAGCATGCAGAGACAGATGAGACCTTGCAGCAAGTCACCAGATCTAGTAGGCCAAGTGAAATCCAGAGGCAATGATTTGTAACCAAGAACACACAGGCTAAAAAGAGACAACCAGTTTGATTTCCACCAGAACACTGGGCTGCACTAAATCCAGATGTAGGGACAACCAAGCTCAATGTCCCACATCAAGTATCTGTGAAGTATTCAAATTACCACTTTGCCTCAGAACAGTCCTGACAAATATGACTTAATTGCCATTTAAGCCTAGGGTGCAAATGGCTGGACCAAAGTCATAGTCTAAATCAATACATCTTGCACCAAGCTGGTTGTCTGCCTTTAACCCCAGATGTCACCCCTCTCCTATTTCAACCAAGGATGCATTAACTCACACACATCAGAAAAATCACAAATGCAACATTATCAGGTGAGGAATGGGGGTTCTCAATCATGTGATCTGGCTTTATAGGCCAAAAGCTCTACTTTAAACTTCACATGGTAATGAACAGATAGCCTGTGCTGGTCTCAAAGGACATTTAAGATGGCCCCATGTGTTATATAGCTTAATATCATCTTGCTGCAGATGCCAGCACTCAGATATCAGCGGAGTGCATCACAAACATCGAGAGAGATTATTTTAATATCTCATAACTGGTTTTAATTTTGCAGTGTATATTTTCCTTTGGTTTGATGGAGAGAAATGCACAGAGGAGAACAGGGATAATATAATCCAGATTGTAATTGTGTGACCTTTATGTGCAAGAGATGACTGGAAACATCACAGGCGTATTTCTCTTCTTCTTTGCTGAGGAATTTTTCATGAGGGTGAGGCA